AGTGAATAAAGAGCAACAAGAGTGTAACAGCATCAAGGCTTGAAATACTTTTAATGTTGAATAAAAATAAAAAGAATTTGTAAACTACATGTACAGTACTCAAACAAACAGCCAAAACTCATTTTATATATTGTCCTGGTTTGGTATCTTTGTAGGTCATTTTGTAGATGAAAAATTAACTTCCTTACCGTGGTAAACTCTCAGCAAGATTGAACAACATGTGGTTTGGTAGGACAAAGCTGTTTTGAAAAAAAAACACACAATATCAAACATATTTCAAAATTRAATTCTCTGTGAAACTATTCATGATATTTTTTTTACACATACCCACAGCTTTCATCCTCTTGTCTTGCTATGGTGTCCCTCCATTCATGGAGAGCTTTGAACACTTGTAACTGATGATAAAAAACATACATATGGGACTATTTCTACACAAAATACATCAATATTTCGTATTCCTCTTTTGTATTTTCTATATTGTGTTTTATTGTGTGAATTCTTACTTGTGATGGATTGAGTGGTCTTCTTTGCTTGGTGTAAAGRTTAAGATATGACTCACTGGTGTATAAAGGCTTCTCGTATTTCTATGAATGAAAAAGCAATCATTGTAAATTACTGTGTTTCTTGTCATGTGCGACTTTTGTCAAGGACACAATACTACCATTAGGTAATAATCAACATAAAATTGCAGCCTTGTGCTAATAATATAATGATAATTATTACAATTCTCTTTGGTTTTAAGTGACTTGGTATTGATTTCTTGATTTTTTGAATTAAATTCTAGTTAAATAATTGCAATATCAATGCTACAGCTTAGAGATTTATAATGATTCGTGTGTTTTTGTGAACTTTGTCCTACATGCTCGAATCATAACAATCATTTCAGTCTATTTATTTACCCAAAGAATAAAAACAAGTTACCTTAAGACAAATGTCTTTACTTCGCTGATACACTGACAAAAGAAGGTTGTTCTGGGCATTACCATTCCTAATAAGCTCATTCCTTAGACGGTCATARATGTACAGCAAGTAGTGGGTGTCTTCCCTAGCRTATTGAGACATTTCCGCTGGTAAAGGCCTATGAAACAATAAACAAACRGAAATGTCATTTAGATTATGTTATCTACTGATGATGGCAATAATKTTTTGGACCAAAACTTGTAAAMTGAATTTGTAAGTTGATTTCTTCTAAACAATTTATTCAAGCTCAGGTTCTATTTTTATTATTCTGTAGTCTGCAGAAATTCTTGGTTGACAAATAATTAAGGAGTCATAGTGCAAGTAATAACTGTTGTTGTTGTTGTTGTTGTAGTTGTTGTTGTTATAGTTGTATAGTAGCAGTAGTAGGAGTAGTAGTAGTAGTAGTAGTAGTAGTAGCAGTAGTTGTTGTTGTTTTAACCTTATTCTCCAGTCAGCCAGTTGATACTGTTTGTTTGCCGAAACATCACAAAACTTCTTCAAGAGATAACTGAGTGATAGTCGTTCATAATTGAGCACTCTTGATGCTTGTCCTGTATCAAACATGTTAACGACATAGATTCCAAAGTCTCGTTGCAGCCAACCAATGTCCATATCAGCACCATGAAGGACCTGTTAATTGTCAAATGAACATTAATAAAAAAACACCATTTGATAATATGGAAAAAACACACTCAAGAAGAACAAGAAAATGTATTGTAAGCATAGATTTGTAGATGGAGTACAGTAATCAGGCATAATATATGATAAGTGTAGTTGTCTCTGATTGCGGAAAAATTGAAATTCTCCAAACAACGTAAGCTTACTTTAAGAATCTCCGGGTTTGTAAATGACTCATTGAGCATGCCCAGTTCACTGCGAAGCTCCAAGGTGTCAATCAAGTAATCCTGGTCTCTTGTTGATATTTGCATAAGACACACAAAACCTTGGAATGTTCGGTATGAATGATGCTAATAATAGAGAGAACAACAATTGATATTAGTATCTAATAATGATATCGAGCTCTGATAATATCAGATTCAGTTTATTGAATGAGGGCAGTCTTGACTGACAGTCACAAAGAATGACTGGCAGAATTACATACGTATAATGACGGCATGAGTGACAGAGTTAATAATTGGAGGAACAGAAACATGAATTAATGTAGGTGGACAATGAAAAAATGAATGGATGGATGAAAAAATGGAATAAATGAATGGATGCATGAAAAGAATGAATAGATGAATAGATAATGAAGTGTAGACTAGGTAAGTTGATAAAAGACTTTGAATGTATCACAATGTGTTTTTTTAATATTACCTCTAAATCCACTGCAAATTCAGTAACATTAGATAATGTCTCGTTGAGTTCCTCAAGCTGTTCCATTGTTTTTACATAAGTACAAGGTGTCTCTTCAAGGTTGTTGTACAACTAAAACAAATTAAGATAGAACTAAAATCTTCAAACTATGAATTACAATTCAAGATTATTAGAAGTACATTAATTTCTATTTGATGCTAATAAAGTTGCTAATAAATGTAGTCATGCTGACAGTCTGCAGGTACCTTTTCTTTTTCTTCTTTCAACTGTTTTTCAAGAGGTTCAAAGACTTGTAGTTCGTATTCATAAGGATGAYAGACCCTGAAATTACAATAACAAAAAAAAACATGATGAGACTCTCAGAAACAGACTGGCTGATCATGATATACCATTACTAGGGATACATTTCTGATAGTTTCACGACACTCTACCTGTGAGTAGTATTACTGCTGGTTATTCTCTGTTGATGTATGAAGTCRGCAATGGCTGATGGGACACTAAGCTGTTCAGGAACTGTAGTATCTGGTATGTCTATAAGGTTAGAAAAAAGTATGGAACTTACAGCAAATTTACAGCACAACATCCACTTTAGTTAAAGTGCTACTTGCATGAAAATGGCCTTATTTCAAAACTTCAAGCAATACAAATATATGACTCATTTATATCTATTAAAAACAATTGCGGGAAATTATTTGTCTTGGAATTATGCCATATCAGAGAAATTTTGATTCAAAAGATGGAAGAACAAAAGGATTGAGTAAATGACGTCATCTACTCCAACATTTTTTGCCGAAATTATTAAGGATTTGCATCAATATTTTCTTGAAATCTGTTGCTTCATGATTATTAAACCTATATGGATAGGTCTATTTGATTTCCAAGTCTTTTCTAATGTTTCGCAATTTTCGCCCTTTAAAAGACACTTTAGGTACTACAAGAATGTAATTTCTTTGATATAGGAATTTATTTACTGTCATTTTAATATAAAGTGCCTGTAAGATTGGGTGCAAGACAAAAGTTGACTGTATATAATAAAGAAACTGTTTAGAACTTACAACTCTGTAGAGGTTTTAAAGCATGAGGCTTAGACTTTA